TTTTGCTTGGGGCGGCAGAAATGCTGGAGCCGGCCCTGCTTTGAGCAGGGGGTTGGACTAGATGACCTCCTGAAGTCCCTTCCAACCCTGATATTCTATGATTCTATGAGATGAGGCCTCACCAATGCCGAATAGAGGGAAATGCTCTTTCTCTTGAAATCACTCCTTGTAGCTTCTGTAGGACTCCTTGGTTTTACTTGGCCTGCTACAAACCCATAGAAAACTAACCAGTTCCCATGCAGAATGGCTAATTTCTAGGGTTTATATATTTAGGCCACAAAGGGATGCTGGAGGAGGATGGGTTTGGCCACTGGGAGGAAAGGCCAGGTTAGGCTGTCTGCGATGAGTTCCAACCAGCTCTCAGAACGGGTTAGGCAGCTGACTTCACTGTTAGAAATAAAGAGAACTTTTCATGGAACCCAGAAAAGTTCAGTCTTGAAGAGGGAGCCCCTTGGGGAGAGTAGGCAGGTGGGAGTATGAGGCTTCTTGCTTGTTGTGGGAAGTGATTTCTTCTGAGTGGCTTTTGATGGGGCTAGAAAGCTGGGGACGGGCTCATTTTTAAAGAGGTATGCGGCAAATTGGACTCAAGGAGGGAATAAGGCCATCTTTGTGATGGTTATGTGGGGGAGGGAATGAGATACTGCAATGCACCAAGGACCATTATATGTATCTTTCAGTTCCTAGGGATCAAAGATGGGTGTATTTCTTATGTTTAGATCTGCTCAGGAACTGAAATTTCTGTCCTGCAAAAACACTTTCATTTTGGAGAGGTGGCTGGGGGAGATTCCAAATCAGACCAAACAGTGAGATATGTGAGATTTGCACTGGGATGGACTGAGATGGAGTTTTTCAAAAATTTCTGATCCCAGCTCTCCAGCCTTTCCAGCTCTGCAGCAGCCAATGAGCCCATGTTGCCAAGGAACTGGGGAGGTGTGCGAAGAAGCTGTCAGGAAACCAGTGAAACTTGCCTGGTTTCCCTCAAAAGATTTATCAAAATCAACACATTCCTGTGGAACCTTTTGATTTTTGCCAAATCAACATTCTCTGACAGAAAAATGTTCCACTGGAAAACTTCTGACCAGATATACTTCAATTCTAAGCAGGAAAACATTCTGTATATTATTCTGGCTGTAAATGTATTAAGACATCCTAACTTCCTCCACCATAGTCCCAGCCTAATTAGAGCTGCCATTGTTATAATTTGCGGGGAGGAGGGGTTCTGCTTGTATCATTGGAGTGAGGACCGTCTCTTGAACACAGTTCTGTCTGTATACACTTTAATACTCAGGAATGATTAACTTAGGACAAATGTGTCTAGTCTAGTTGTGGCTTGCCTCGTTTAATTATGCCCATACCAATTGATTACATGGACTTCTAACCCATATATATTTGTGTGGCATATCCTATAATTTATATAATTTATTCATAAATACATATTATAATTGATGTATAAACACATTTGTGTGTGTTTATACTCACACATCTGTCTTTGAGGCACAGTATACACAAATATAATGGAAGAGCTGAGTTAGAGCAATGAAGAATGAGTTGCTGTACTTGGCAGTGCAGAGGATTCAGGGAAGATTAATGACTTTGCCTGCAGCTCCTGTGTAACTTTCCCCAGCTATTGAAAATTAAATGTCACATACAACAACTCACTCTTCATTAGTTAATTGCATGTGGAATGTGTGTCTGGTGTGAAAGCTCCAGAGGCTGAAGCAGAACATATGAAACTGAACCCCAGAACTAGATTTAGTGCTGACTGTCAGGCCGTGTCTCAGAAGAGCAGATTGCTTGCGAAATCCGCCCCACTGCATCGATCAGACACACTTTTCTTTGAACTTTCTGTAATTAAAAATATCACAAGGCTCCTAATAAAGGTATCTCACTTGCTGCAGAGTCACTTTGGATTTGAAAATTTCTAGCATGTGTTTTGGATCACATTTAAAAGATATTCATCTATAAAGGCAATAGAAGTGCTTGCCTAAATCTTCCTATTTTTTCCAGTTTTGGTCATCTATGAATGAATCCACTGGAATGAGAAGAGCTTCTTTTTAAAAATAACAGTTTCTCAACTACATGCACTGAATTGGATTTGCTGTAGCCATTGAATTTGTTCCTGTTACTGTCTCTTGGGCTAGAAAAGGTGTCATTTTAAAAGTTGTTTTCCAAGTTGTAAACATATGTAATGTCTTTAGACTTCAGCAGAACAAGTGTCTCG